GCCATCTCACTCTTCACCTGTCCAGACAGATGGCCTGTCCTCCCAAGACCCTGACAGGTCCCAGCACTTACCTATCTCCACGTGGGTTGACAGGCCACACGAAGAAGCTGTCGGGCAGAGGAGGGCCAGCACGGCCAGCAGGCCAGACCACAGCCGGCCAGGGGACATGCTGCCGCTGCTCCGGGCTCCTGGGCTCACAGGAAGCTCCCCGCGGCCACAGCTGGCCCAGAGCCAGCGCCTCCCTGAGCAGGTCACTGACATGGAAACCGAGCGCCTTTCAAAATATTGTTTTCCAATGAAGTCAGCTGCTCGGCCACTGCTCAGCCTCAGCAGAACAGCGAACCCACTGTCCACCTGGGAGGGGGGAAAGGGAGCCAGTGAAGCCCAAAAGCTGCCAACTGGGGGCCCCCATCCTCCACCCCGCGGGCCCTGCACTTCATCTTAACTGACGAAGGCGTGGAGGCCAAGCAAAGTTGTCTCCAAACAGTTCTGGCTTCCTAAAAAGAGACTCACCGACAGCGGCTCTTCTAGACAGCCCCGGTCCCGCAGGCGACTCGCGCATCCTCTGCGCACATTTATCAGGCAGCCCTGCCTCGGGGGGAGGGGGGCTGGGAAAGCATTTATGGTGATCAGCTGGAACCGGCTTCGCCTCAGTATTTGGCAACCGATATTGACACTTGTGTGGGATTACACAAGTGCAGCCACTCTTGGCTCCTTCCTCGGGCTCCTAGGGCTTATCCAGGGCCTGTTGCAAGATCAGATTCCTGCATCCACTCAAAGATGCCGGTTCCACTTGGGAGTCAGAGGGGAGAGGACAGCCAAGAAACCAGGATCTGGAAAATGCTAGGCTCAGAGTCTCTCTGCCCTGGAGTAGAAAATCTATGGCACTTAGTCCAGGAGGGAAATTTAGGTCAAACTTTTCATGGGAATCTTAAAGGTCAAGTTATGTATAGCATGTGTTAAAGGCAGGAGAGGAGCTGCTAGAAAGAGTGGGAGGGAATGGTATTCACCCTCCTCACTTTGGGCTCGCCCATCAAGAGCTGGATGAGCCCAAGGTGGGACTGGTTTGCCAATAGCTGCTGTGCAACCTCAGCCC